TTGACTCTGATCTCAAACTTTTCATCTTATCACCCAAAAAGTAGCCGTGGCCGAAACTTTTATTTAAATTTTTTTTAAAACAATCAAATCTGATAGCAAGATCATAAATTTAAATAAAGTGAAGCATTTTAAAAATCAAATCTTCACTAATAATATCCTTGCATTGATATTTTATATATATATTTTTAAATAGGGGCAGATATAAGATTTTTTTCTTTCTGCTACCTTTCATTTTTATTTGATATGTATTTTTTGTATGTGAATTTGTTTGTTTTTAAATTTGAATAATTTTAAAAACAGTTTCAAACTCTAATATTAAACTTTTTTATCAAATCAGCTGATATTTGGTGTACAGCTGACATGAACTATCAGCTGATTTGGTTGTTTAAAAATCATTTCTTTGCACCTAAGAAAATCGAGCATGTTTAGGGCAAAACAAAAATTAAAAATCTGCAGCTGTCATGCAAATCAGAAGTCAATAGATGAATATCTAATAAMCAAGTACCAATATTATGCCATGTTTTTTGTAAATTTCCTTCAGCATTATATCATAGGTTTTTTTTAATATTCGGGAATATCTATGTTGTATCGATAATGTTTAATTTATTGTTAAAATTTAGGAAACATTACAAAGGTAAACACAATAAATGGTAAACAACTGTTTACAAGACAAATTAAGGGCTCAGGTTCTAGGCCTTTTGAGAGTATCTGTGTGAAACCAGAACAGCGCAGCACGTACACGTGTCTTTTAACACAATATTTGCAGGAAACACAAGGTTCTTAGGAAAGAAAAAACGACCAAAAAGTACATGAACCCTCCTAAATCTTAAGTTTTGAGGGGACAAATTAAACAAATCAAACAAATGCTAGTTTTGAACCACTTACTTTGGAAGTAGACCCCAAATTTCCAGTTTCTGTCCTATTAAATAAAAGGTTATTCCTAGTTTTAGCAAAACGTTTGACCACCAGTGTGTGTTTCAGGTCGGTGCACGTGTCGACACAATGGGAGGATGATCCCCAAGGGACCCGAATGCCACTCAACGAGAACTTGACCACCACCTACCAAGGTGAGCAATCATTCACAGCAAAAATGCCAGTGTTAATTTAACACCCAACAGTGTTAATTTAACACCCAACAGCGTTAATTTAACACCCACAGCGTTAATTTAACACACACAGTGTTAATTTTAACACCAACGGTGTCTATATGTGTCCACACTCGCTGGTGTTAAAATAACATTTGTGAAAGTGTTAAATTTTAACACTCATTTTTTCGTTTATTTAACACCAACCAGTGTTTGATATTCAACAATTCTTGCTGTCACATTAACATAAAAATAGTGTTAGTGTTAAAATATAGTGTTAAAAGTAACACCAGCCAGTGTTAAATATTCAGCAATACTGGGTGTTATATTAACATTTCAACAGTGTTAAAATTAAGTGTTAAAAGTAACACCAGTGTATTAATATTATTTTTATTAACAAAGGAAATTGTGGTGTTTGAAAGATTAACAGACACCACAAGATTTTAAGACATCATCAAAATGAGAGTGTAAATTTAACACAATGGAGTCATCCTTCACACAGCAGAAAGTACCTCTCACTCATGGTGTCAATTTTTGGCCAAAAACATAAACTTAAAGTTGAACAACATGGTAAAACTGAACAAAAAAACAAACCAGAACAACTCATTTTTACTCTCACGAACGTCTTTAATGGTCATAAACATTAAAAAAAAACATAATTTCTGCAAGATTTCTCAGCAAGGAATGCTGGGTAAATGCTGGTCTGTCTGACATGAGGTGGAAGAGGGCGGGGCTTTTCACAATACTTCTTTTAACACTGCATGGTGTCATATAACAAAACTATTAAGTATTATATAAAACTTAACTGTGGGTGGAGCTTATTTAACACTGTCCAGTGTTGAGGAAATCAACACTGTGAATTAACACCAACACTGGGTGTGAGTGTACTCAGAAAGTGTTTAAAATAACACTAGGGAGTGTTAAATCAACACCCAAAAGTTTAACACTGAAATTTTAACACTCYTATTTTTGCTGTGTTGCTGCCATATAATAACACAGCTAACGTGGTTGGTAATAAACGTTTTCTTTTCTTCGCAGATCATTTCAAAGCTTGGAAACAGGAGCAGAGGAAGCCATTCAGGGCGCATCACTCGTTGAGCGCCGAACAAGGATTAGCGCCTGTAGAAGACGACAACAAAATCACGGTGATAGTAGACGCAGAGTCCGCCGGACAGTCAAGAGAAAAAGCACAGTTTGATGGCGTCTCCATCTACTCGTCGGATTTCGTCCCTCATCCAGTGCAGCCCAGAACAAWCAAGACCAGGAAAGGTTACCAGACCAGCAAAGAACCACMCAAGGAGACCTCTGCCACAGCCGAACAGTCAAGAGAAAAAGCACCGTTTGATGGCGTCTCCATCTACTCATCGGATTTCATCCCTTATCCAATGCAGCCCAGAACAAACAAGACCAGGAAAGGTTACCAGACCAGCAAAGAACCACCCAAGGAGACCTCTGCCACAGCCGAACAGTCAAGAGAAAAAGCACCGTTTGATGGCGTCTCCATCTACTCGTCGGATTTCGTCCCTTCTCCAGTGCAGCCCAGAACAAACAAGACCAGGAAAGGTTACCAGACCAGCAAAGAACTACCCAAGGAGACCTCTCCCGCAAAACATCTCAATGACCCCGACGGTTCCTTTCAGCAAGTGTGGTCGCTGGAAACCGAGCTCCACGGACAACCCAAGGACTCCACGTTCCACAGAGGCGGCGTAGAACCCAAGAACCAGAGCACCGAATCGGTCTTACCCACGCAAACCGATACAAGCAAGAAACCTCCCCGGACAGTTCTGACGAGAGAGTCCTACAGAGCTTGGAACGGACCCGAATCTGTCACGTCGGCTCACGAGACTTCAGACTGGCCCGTGAAGACGACGTTCTTCAAGCATGACCCCAAGCCGGCTGAGACAAAGCAGGCGTCTTCAAGACCAGTGGGCGACCCTACCCACTTTGAGACGACCACGCAGAGACACCAACGTCCAGCAGAGGGCAGAGAAGAGTTCGCTTTGAGTGCTCAACCGACATGTTCTGGTCCGGCTCRCTAAATGGAGGCATGAGTTGGTTTCGAGAGGAGATCCAGGCTTCCTAAAAAGCAATAAATGCTTCAAATGGCTTATTCATTATCTAATTTTTTTAAAACTTACCTCACAGCTTTAAACGTGTGTTGGGAAGGACTCTCAGCTGGTTTCACGTCAATTTTTAGCTCAATTTCTGTCAAACTGGCAGCGTTATAGCAGCTAAAGTCGGTAATCTGCAGCGGCCATCTTGTAAGGAGTTAACTAAAATTTATTCAATTGTAGACGTGCATCCGATGATTGCTTTTTGATTTTTATAAAAACACAATCACTGGTTCATGAAATATTTTGCTAACAAACACATTCAATGGCAAATACACGATGGCCCGCCTCACGCAGCAGAAAACTGGTTCTGACAGCAAACTAATTAAAGGGATCCATGATTAGTTGTAACATTAGACTTTATTTGATAAACATTTATTTTAACTGTAAAATAAAGACTGTAAAAATACTGTAGGCTGTTTAGTTTTGTAAATTTTTTAAAATATATTTTAATACGGACGGAGCCATTTTATTTACACACAAAGCATTCTGGGTAAATA